CACACCTAATGCTATTAATGTTCACTATCATAAACTGCAATGATACCACTACAACAATAAACAAAAGGCTGAAGTGACACATCTTTGATGCCCCATTAACAGAAATATCCTCATTTATTTTTTGTTTTGTGCACATCATTGTTTTTAAACCACAAGTATACCCTTTTCTTTAAAACCAATTTAAATTTGGAGGGTAAAACCCTGTCAATAAATACAGAGTGCACTATATAGTTAACAAGACTCAAAATGCAATTGCTGTTGCTGATCTATGATCAAAGTGGAGATTCTCTGTGCAGACTTCATGAAGCTTTTGAGAAGTTTGAAAAGGCTTCCAAAGTTTGAAAATAAACAAATACATCTGAGTAAAAAAAAAATATTTCTGCATTGCATCAGGTAAAATGTTTTGTTCAGAGCGCCAATTTTAAGATGGCTTCATCCACTGTCAGAGAATCCCAGTGGCAATATTCATAAGAAGCAAGGAGAAATAATTTCATTCCTCCGTGACCTAAGCACACATCTACCCCTGAGGTCTTCTGCTGAATTAAATAGGCACTGCATATTTTTAAAGATCTTATGAATTCAATTAAACAGTAGTGAAGATGGCCTCAGAGGAAAGAAATATCTCTGCATAATTATCAACACAGACATAGGTGCGTACCCTGCCTTCTGTGTGGCAGTGAAAAAATGGCCTCCTTATTGAGAGTGCTGATTTTGGTACACAGAAACAGCTGAGGAACTTGTGACCTCTCAAACCTCCAGTCTGAGGCATGTTCTGAACACTGCCTCAAGTCCTGTCAATCTTGAGTGCTGAGTTTATACATGATTGACTCCTAAATGGTGTAAGATTGTGCTCACTGTCATTGCTATAAGAAGGCTTCCTAATTTTAAAGCCTTTTTTGTTACATGTTACAAAAACGGAGGAACTCTCGGTAGGGAGCCTCCCTGCAGACACACATCAGATGTAGTTGGCAAAAGTAAAAAAACACAATGAAAGCAAAGCAATAAAATACCAGACTTACCAAAAATTACTGCAGTATTTTTCCTCCCTTTGGAAAGTGTTTTATTTGTGTTCACCTCTCAGAAAGGTCTCTACATTTCTTTAGCTTGTGGAATAAAACCCCAAAAACCACTGTACAACCCAACATCCATTGTTAAAGACAGAGCTGTTAAAAGCTCTTGAGGGTTTGAAGAGTGAAAGAGTTTATATGGTGTTTGCAGCATTTTACATAAAACACAGTACTTTCATATTCTCCATGTTCCAGCTTCGTAAAATTAAGATATCTTCCCATGTTCTGTTCTTCCATAGAAGACTTAAAATGTAATTTTAATTACATTTGTAATAAATTTAATTACATCTGCAATTACACACAAAGATACACACAAAGACTACAAATACACTGACCCTCCTTAGGTATGGTGCTATCCAGCACTAACAGATCCAGCTGGCTAAGAGGTAATTTAAAAGTTAAACAAATTGCAAGGTAAGATTTCCAAAAGCAATACAAAACAGAAACAGAAAATTATCTGGGACATTGAAATCAGCCACCACTGAGGACTAGATAAAGTCAAACTGTATCATGAATTCAAATAATTTATGCACCAAAAAGAAAAAAACCAATAGATGAGAAGTACAGAACCCTCAGCATAGACAAGTTCCAGAGAGACACCACGAGGATATGAGGATTGTAAAAACCCACTTGCACTTCCAGTGAACTCCACTCCTTGTATAGGCAGATGCATTAGTCCTTAAGAGGGAAACCATTAAAAAGTAGGGCAGCAGTTTCATCTGAGGGAAACAAGTCAGAACAATCCTTTTGGGGATGTTTTCATTCAAAGGGGCTGCCCCTTTTTATAGTTCAAGGCAAGATACACATTTCTTTTAAAAGTTTATCTTACTAATTCTGAATACTCTAGCTTTGTCAGTGGTAAGTAATTAAAACATATTAAAATGCAACAAATTGTCCCTATGAGTTAAGAAAATATTTTCTTTAAGATCCATAAGGTCAAGCTCTGCTTCCAGCAAAACAAAAAGCACCTTCTGTCTTTTGAAGCAGAAATGTTCCCTCTCTGATGCTCCTAGGCTTTGAAAGATGAAGCCCCCTGACAGACATATATTTCAAGATAAGCAATTACATCATAGAACCACCACCAGAAATCATTTACCAAATGAAGTCATGAACTGAAAATTACTAATGGAAAGTGGCAATTTGGCCAGTTTTCTGTACTGCCCTAACCATGCTCAGAAAATCTAGGGGCTGGCTAAAAAACGCTTTCCCTCAGATCTAAGATAAGGATTGTTTCTAATATTCTGCACAAAGCTGTTACATAAACCCACTGATGGAGATGTCTTCTTGCACCCCAGAGCCAGCCCACTCACTTATTCCAGAAACCCAGGCAGGTAAAGCCTCAATGAGGAGAGCTCTGGTCAGGGTGATGCAGGAACATCTCGCACTCATGTACCCCTGAGCCACACCTGCAGTGAGCTGGATCCAGGGCAGCTGTCACACCCCTGCACAGGGATCACTGGGAAGCAGAAAGGACACAGGGGCAGGTGGGGAGACACCCTCTGTTCTGCTGCTCTGTACTGCTGCTGGAGCAGGGGAACCACGCAGCACCAGGATGCACAGCCTGCTGGCATGGGATTTCCCATCCCCATCTCCCCAGGCTGCTTCTGATTTAATGAGGAAAAATGGGATATAACACAGGCATTGCCCCGGGAACTGGAATCAGCACCAGGTTCCTGCACCTCTTGCATCTGATATCACTGGTTTTTTGCACAAATCCAGCTTAAAATGCTGTACTTGCATCAACATTTGAGTGGTAACTAGAAAATGCAAAAAAAATCTAAACTCAGTTTGGGATAATTCATTTCTGCACCATCAGAAGCAGTTTCCTTCATTTTCATTTGAGAAAATTATTTTATTCTGGGCAAGTTTATCTAACCAGCAGGGCTAAAACTATGATTAACTCTAACAACATATGATTGCTTTAGCATAGGAATGTATTCACCCTCGACGTCAAGCCATTAGTAGGTTGAACATGATTATGGGCATGAGATTTGTTTTTCAAGCTTCCCTAAGCCACAGTCACAAGACCCTTCCCTAAGGACAGCTGTAAAGGGATATCACACTGAGATTTCATATCAACAGCAAAACAAAATGCTCAGGTAGATGTCAGTCTTCAGTGACAAGCAATTGAAAAGGTAATCCAAGATGACACAACTAATTAATATCAAAGACTAAATACATAAAACATTTCTTGCAGACCAGATTGCAGCAGAGCCACCACAAAGGGATTTCAATCACATTCCTCCTGCGCTTCTCCCACCCCATTTCCCCAGGGGGTAGAAGATAACCCCCAAACCAGTATTAAGGGTTTAACTTCCAAGCAGGCTCAATACTAAGCCCATAACATTCACAAGTTCCAGGGTCTGGTTAAATGATTTCCCTGAACCATGCAGATCCCACTTTTCCTCCATACATCTTACAGCTCCCAGTTAGGCAGGATGGGGAGGCCCCAGGTCAGGGCCATTAGGAGGAAGGGCTGCAGAATCTACACCTACCATTCAATTTAAATCTGCTCATGGCACAGGTATTTCTAAAGGGTAAATTAATCTAAGTGTTGTTCACTCTGTGAGCCAAAACTTGAAATAAATATTGGTATAGCTTTTACTACCTTTGATCACTTGTATTGGAAATAGCATCACTTTTGATTTCTGAGCTGAAAGCTTACAACTGTTTCTAATATTCCATTTGATGTAAATGATTCAATAGAAACAAAGTCAAAAATACTCTTTTCAGTTTGAAAGATTGCTTTAAAATGTTTAGTATAGTTGTACTTACAGCACCTTTAAATTCTAGTTAATAAGTAATTAAAATAATACATTATCAGAATTATTTTCTTCTCTCAGTGTGAATGAGTTCTCTAGTGTCTGCACTGGGAAATTATGATTATTATTACAATTTTCAACCACAATTATTGTTTTTAGACACACCCAGCTTCTAATTCTATCATCAAACCCTTTACATCAATAGCATTTTTTAAAAGTTCAAGTACAGAATTAAATGGAAAGTTTTAATAGCTTATCCATATGTATACTTGATATTCTTGGCTGCAGAAAGGGATACCATCATAATATTAAAGAAAAACATGTAAGAGCCATAGAAACAAGTTCATCTATGTCAAGAATTCCTATGACCCTTGCTTTTACTCAAAACCTGTATTTTCTATACAGACTATTTGCTTTTAAAATAATAGGGTTAAGCTGTTAGTCATTCTAACTGTTCATATAGAAATGTTACTTGGAATACTTGTTGTAAACCTTTCAGGGTGACAAATGAAAGATAATAAACCCTTGATCAATGTAACTTTTATTTATTCATCCAGGAACAGAGGATATCATAGGCAACAATGCCGCCTAGGAGAACAAGGATTTCACATAAAGTGTTTTGGCAGAAACACGCATTTAAATAATCATCCAAATCACCACCTCACTATCTCTATCTTAAAAAAGAAAAAAAAATCAAAACTAAACAAACAAAAAAAATGGAGAAAAAGAAACATAAGATCTGAACAAACCAACAGCCTGGATTTTTTTTTTTAATTTAATGTCTATGCCAGCCACATCTGTCCCCGATTTTAAAGATCTGAACAAACCGACAGCCTGGATTTTTTTTTTTTTAATTTAATGTCTATGCCAGCCACATCTGTCCCCGATTTTAGAAGTCATAATACTTAGCAGTGACAATGGCACCTTTCATTTGCAAACACATTATAAAACATGAACTGACTCCAATTATACCACAATATCTCATCACAGCTAATCAACAGGACTGCCTGGTCTGCCCCCAGCCTGGGGAAGTGCTGATTTAAGTTTGTGCTGCCAGGCCCCTGTATGACAGTGTCTACACCCTGCAAAGTACCACCACAGAAGTGAATTTAGCATAAACTGACTGACCAAACTGCAGCACATCATCAAGCAGGTGTTTCCACTCAGTGCTAATATTTTCTTTTATATTCCAAGAAGAACTGACCAGACTGGGACACAATTTAATGTAAACCATTTGGAGTGAAAGGTGTTATCTTGCCTAGCGAAATCTCCCCCTCACAGTCCAGCTCACAGGCAGAGTCAGTGGCAACCTCATGGTCAGGGGAGATCTGGGACATCCTGTCAAAAGGGTCCTCGCGATTTTCCTCACAGTCAACCACATTTGGGATCATGTTAACATAAGCAGTCACTATCTCCTTATGGTAAAGGGTGTCCTGGTTGTAAGAGATAAGCTCATTGCTTATATTAACAGTCTCCACTGCAGTACCAGAGCAAAAATGACCACATCCCAGGAGGTTGGAGAAAACCTTTCTAAAGTCAGCATTGAAGGCATAGATGATGGGGTTAAGAGAAGAGTTAGCCCAACCAAACCAGACAAAGATATTAAAGGTGGTCTCACTGACGCAGGGCAGGCCAGCGTGGGGGTCACTGGGTGGGCTCTCGCAGAAGGGAACCATGCAGTTCAGGATGAAGAACGGCAACCAGCAACACACAAAGACACCCATGATGACAGAGAGCGTCTTTAACACCTTGGTTTCTTTCCTGATGGAGGACTTGAGGCTTGTGTGATGGTGGCAGTCAATGTGGCTGCTCCGGCAGCTCTGTGCATGCTCGGCTGCCCTCTCCAAGGAAGAGATACGACGAATCTGCACCTGGGCAATGCGGTAGATTCGGGTGTAGGTAACTATCATGATAGCCACCGGGATATAAAAACTGATCAAGGAGGAGGAAATAGCATAAGTCCTGTTGAGGCTGGAGTCACAGCTCTCCGATGGTCCAGTGAGGGTATCATTGCTGCCAGAGGTCCCATCAGAGGGTCTCACTGCCGCTAATGCCACCCATGTGGTACTCATATCTTCTGCCCAGGTGGTGACAGCACCTGCTGCTGCCCAGGCAGTGCCAAATCCATCTCCAATATCAGCATCAGCAACAACATCCCCACCTTTGTGCCAGTTGAGCTGGACAGGGATGAAGGAGATGAGCACAGACAGCGCCCATGCCACGCTGATCATCACCAGAGCCAACCGCTGGGTCATCTTCCTCTCGTAGCGGAAAGGGCTGGAGATAGCCCAGTACCTGTCCACACTGATCACACACAGGTTGAGAATGGAGGCCGTGGAGCACATGATATCAAAGGCCACCCAGACGTTGCAGAAAGCCCCAAAGGGCCAGTACCCAGCTACCTCTGCCACCGCCTTCCAGGGCATGACCAGCAGGGCCACCAGCAGGTCCGAGACAGCCAGGGACACGATGAAGATGTTGGTAACCTTGCTCCGCAGGTGCCGGTAGCGGACGATGGCCGCACACACGAGCACGTTCCCGAAGAGAGTCCAGAGGATGAGCAGCGCCAGCAGGCTGCCCGCCACCACCTGCGCTGCGCCGGGGGCGCCCGCCGAGCCCCGCGCCTCGCCGGGGGGCCCCGTCGCCGGGGGCAGTGGGCTCCGGCCACCCCGCAGCATCGCTGGCGGCTCCCGCCGGCGGC